CTGCGAAGAAAACAGAGTTTTTGTTTTCAAAGTTAGGAAAGGTTTTTTGCCTTTAGGGAGGTCAGCCGAGGGTATGGGGACCGAGAAAAGTTGTTCTTCCCACCGTATTCCCCGGAAAGAGTAAATGCTCGACAAGGCCTAGAGGAAGCTGAGAGAGTTGAACCTGGTCACTTCGAGTGGTGGTTTGGGTTGGAGAATTCTTGAGGTCCCTGAATTATCCTGTGTTTTCAACACAAGCTGGTAAAAGCTGATTTTTTTGGTCAAGCGTAAGGTTATTGGTCTTTAGCTGTGGAGAGGATGAGCAATCTTATGCTTCAACTTGAAAGTTTTATATGTGTTCTGAAGATCACAATAAAAATTAAACTGTTTTCCTTCCCTGTTGTGCTTTTTTGATGCAGTTAACACTGCATTCTTCACTGAAATCAACCTGGGTATGCCTAGGCACAAATCTTGGCACCTAAACTGAGGAGTTGGTGCATCAGTCCTGCTTCTTGTGTCTGAAAATGAATGGACAAACTTAAACTTACCTCACTTCATTTCACATAAAGATTCTTTGTCTCAGTTCAGGTCACAGTCTAGTAACACAATCCCATAATGTTTTAAACTGGTCTGAGTTATTGCTGTGGCACACCTACCATCGCCTCAGGTATCCGTTCCTATGTCTTGTCATCCGTAAGCAGGAGCAGAAAACTGTATTTTGTTACTTTACCGTTAGTTTATACCAGTTCAGCTCTTAGAATTATCTCCCCCGAGTCCTATAAGAATTGGTTCTGATGGAGGGGAACAGATTAAAATGCAAAAGTATAAATGTATACTCCCAATGAAGCTACTCTGGGTGCAGTTTTACGTGTGAAAAACCCACATCGTTCCCTTCACTGGTAGCAGTGAGAGATTCAGGAAGACTGCTCAAAATGATTTTGGGGTAAAGAGGAAGAAGTGTAAATGTCTCAAGAAGTGTTCTCTTTGCAGTAGTTCATGAAGTCTTTTAAAAGAAACTCCTGTAAAATTAAATAGTTTTTCATTGGGAGCTTTTCTTAGTTTGGTTTTGTAGTTCACTAAAAGACTGCTGAAACCTTAATTTTGGACTTTATACATAGATGTTCAGTAACAAATAATTAACATCTGCTTGGTGGTTTAAAATCATGAGTTTCTGTTCTGTTGCAAAAGAGATGCGGTGTCTATTTTTCATGGTGAAGTGCTGAAGCAAACATAGGGTGTGTTTCTGTAAGGTTCAGTTCAGGAATTGTGAAAACAGCATGAAGTATGTCAGCAAATGGTTAAGAGCTTGTTCAAAGGTCAGCTCAGAGCACTGTTTGTGGAAGAATAGAGTCAAGAAAGACCTATGCTGGGGTCACACTTTGAAGAGAGTCTTTGTAGGCATCTTAACTGTGGTTGGAGAGTCAGGATTAGGGATTTTATGTTCTGCCTGTCTTAGAAAGCTTTAAAGATCTCGTAGATTAAAAGATTACAGTAAATGATGTGAAAAACCCTGGCAAAGAATTTCTGCAGAAATAACAATCCAAATGGAAGAATGTAATACTTGTTTTTGTGTCAACGACATGGAGGGAGGAAAGCTTGCCTGTTCTTTGTGGACCGTACATGGGGATAAGCAGTTTGTTGGCTTATGAGAAATAGTTAATTTTGTGCCGAGAAGAACATGCTTGTTTTGTCAAGGGCCTGAAATTACACTGAGGTGCTTCACTTTGTTTCAGCTTCATAAATTTGGGAGAAATAGGCTGAGGTTTCCATAATTAACAGGAATTTGGGAAAGGGAAGGGTTAGAGAAGAGAGCCTGGGGAGTGATTCCTAGAAATCCTCTGAACACATAATGCTCTTAAAGGAGTAAGATGTTTTGAGCACTCTCTCAATAGCATAAAAACTTCTTTTGTCAGTAAGGATCACTTTCTACTAATGTAACTGATACCTTTAAGGATGAATTCTTTTGATGGGTTTGAGCAAGGGAGAGATTTATCCAGATGTAATTACGTGTGCGAATCTATACATATGGCCTGATAATGAAGACTAAAACCTTAAAAATTAGGATGGGAAACTGCATGTGGAGTGTTCTTTTTAATATCAAGCTTCCAGTAGGTAAACTGAAATCAGTCTTTGCCAAACGTTTTTTTAATGTCTGTGCTCTTCTGTAATGTAAGAAGCTGCCCCAAACTGTTTCTGTTCTATCCTCTTTAGGCCATGCTTTTGTAGACAGAGGAAGGAGAAAGATGGTAATAAAAATGCAAAATAAACATGCAAACTATTGAAAAGCTGTCTCAGAAACAAACTGGAGATCTGTTACTCATGGAAAATAAGTGGGGTGGGATACGTATGTGAGGGGGAAAATTTTTTTTTTGGCATTTTAAGTAGTTGTCTTTGTACCTCACTGCTTCCCTGAATTTCCTCTGTGCTGGCCTCAATTTTCCCCATTTGTAGTGGAGCCCATATGATTTTTAAGGTCATAGAAAGGCAAAAGGAAGTATCTTCCTCCTTCTCCAAGTTCTCTGGCTATTTCAAGGAGTAACAGAGGAAGAATTTAACTCTTCAGTCTTCTGGCAATGTCAGTGTTTGCTCAGGTCCTTCCAGAGAGGAAACTCTGCTGGTTCACCTTGCTTTGAGATTGTGTTCATTTTATGAGCATCCTCAGGTGCTACCTCAGCTTCTAAACCTTAGCATTTTTTTATGTCTAAGTGTGGGTAAGAGGGAGGCACTTGGACTGGATTCCTATCTGTAGTTCTAGGAAATCCTGCAAAAAGTCCTGAAAATAACAAGTTTTCAGCTTTGTATGGATTGAATGAGAAGAAGATTTAGCCCTTGATGTCTGTACTGTCAGCTGGCTCACACAACCCAAATAAGCTGGGCAAATGTAGCTTGGGTTGTGTAATTTTAAATAAGATGTGTGCTCCTGTTGCTGCTCAAGGAGGGCGTGAAAGCGCACTGTAAACAGTGCTTATATTCCATGTGTGCTGTACCTTGCAGATGGGATCCATTTTCTTTTAACATGTAAATTAATGTTTGATCTTTGTGATAAATAATAGGGCATTGTTTTAGAAAGGCTTGGTAATGGTAATACACAAGTGAATTTAAAGCCCTGCTCAAGGCTACAGATGGCGAGTTTGCTTTTAAGGAGTAAATGTAGCTGCATTTTCCTGAACTGCAGTGAGTTCTGGGCTCGGCTGATGTTTTGTTCCCTGGAAATTCAAGAGTACCAGCAGCGTGTGTGCTGGAAGTAACTGTCCCCGGTTTCTAGCAAGGTTTCTCTCCTGTAAAACAATTGATGTTTTGTATACAGGCTTATACCCCTTTGTTAAATTTAGATCTTCCTTTTCAAATCTGCCTTGGGACAGCAGAAGTTTGGTATTTGAGCACTTTTCTCCACTACTTGGTTATCCTGTACAATGGACTAAAAGAAGTTCTTGCCACAATATGTCTCTTTTAGCTATGTAGAAGCTAAAGTTCTGGAAAGCCAAAATAAATGTATCCTATTATTTGTATAATGTTTTTTAAAAAAACCCCACAAACTATGCAAAACAGCACAGGGACAGGGTAGAAATGAAAGGATTGCCTAAGAAAGATTATCCAGTTTCTTATTTTTAATACTGTCTTCTGAAGGTCTATTGCAAGCCTTGGCTGGACACAGTAATGTTATGTTGGAATTCTGATTTGGCAAAATACAGCATTTCCGCTGTGCTTTTGGTAAGATTTGGCTTTGGTAAGACTTGTCCCTGTGCTCTAGGACTTCATCTGGAGCTCGTACCTTTGTAACTTGGCCTGTAATTTATTTGTGTGCATTTAAATAGCAACACCAATGAGTTTGGCTTCTGCTGGTTCATGGCTGAAGAGCAGACCCTTTAAAAATGTTTTTTTTTCCTCCTGTCTTCTTTAAGCAATGTGCATTTACACTTGGGCACCCTAATTGGTTCTAGTAAAACCAATTGTCTTAACGGACATTGGCAGTTGTAAAGCAGTGAATGAAAGTCATGGATAGAAATTGAGACTTAGATTCTATTTCTGACTCCTACCTGCTGGGAACTTAGAATTGCCTTTTCCATTCTCCACCTGTTTCCTTCTCATCTTATATCTTGTCTTAACTATTTAAATTGCCAGCTCTTTGCACCCATGACTTCTTGTTTGTGCCACGCACGGCACAACCTTGTTTTGACGATGCCCCTGCTGCTCCTGGTGTGCTGATCACTGGGGCAAACACTTCTGCTTCCGACAGGGCCATGGGCAGAAATGGAGAGCTGTGTCGTGCAGTTTAATCCCTGCCCCCCAAACCCCAGACTCATCTAGCCCAGAAAATGCAAGGTGATTTTTTTTTAATAAAATTTTTTGAAAATGTGTCACTTTGCAAACATGTGCTAGTTATAAGCTGCTGCTCTCTGAAGACAGCAAATGGCTCAAGCCTGTAGCCAGACCTTTCTGAACCAGCTGTATTTTCTCTTAACCAGGGCTCTTCTGTAACATAAGCAGCACAACAGTTTTCAAGAGTAAATCCATACAAAGCTTGGAATTTGAGCTGTCTTTTGGTTACCAGTGCCTACATTTTTTGGGGGATACTTTTGATAGCTTGGAAAATGCTTGAAAGCTTCTTATCCTTGAAAAATACATACGCTTCTCAAGACAGACGTAAGCTTTCAGAAATTTTAATTTTTTGCAAGGTTTTAACTTGCTGAAAATAGATACGGAATAGATGGCTGAACTGGGACCTCAGAATTAACTTTTATGGTACAGACCAAGGAGTGACCATTTGTCAGTTTTTTGTTCTTCAAAATACTGAAATTACTGAGTGCACACTGTGTGCCTGGCAAGCAGCCTTCTGTTATTTTGCAGGTGTATTTTCAGTGTGGTAGCACATACAATAGATGTAAAACTTGAGTTGAATTCGTTTAGTGTTGCCTCTTTATTCTTTACCCTTGCAGGCCCATCAGAGGGCTTTCTAAACACGTGCTTCCACCCTTCTGGCAGCCCAGCCCTCTCTCTCTGCAAGGCGTCGCTGGTGATAGATCTTGTCTGGAACAGCTTCTGTGCAGGGAGATCATCCTCTGCCTTGCCCAAGGTTGGGTTTCACCCAGTTGTGTCCTGTGCCCATGAGGAATCCCTGGTGGCTGGGATCGGGTAGGCTGATACCCTGTTCTCCTAACCAGCAGATCAGCTGTTTCTCTGCTGATTGTGTTGCTGGAGGCAGGCTGCTGTTTGCCAGTTGTGCTTTCAAGTGACTCAGCCTTGCCTAGGAAGGCTAAGCTGTTGGCCAAGCATGAAGACCACGCTGCGTTGTCTTCTGTAGCTGTGGCAATTGGTCAGCAAGACGTTCCCCTACCCTTCCCCAGACAGCCTCGTAATCCGATCATTAAAGCTTAGCTTCAGACATACTTTGTCCATTACTGCTCTGTAGTTCTTCTTGCCGTAAAATCCTTTGTAGCAATATTTGTTGGGTAAAGATGTGATTTAGGTTAAAACCCTACAGGTCAATGAGATGACCTGCACTGTTAGCACTTTTTGTACAACTTTACTGCATGCATTTCTCTTTAAAATCTAGCTGAATTTGACTTTGTTAGTCCAAAGATGAGATGCTGCCCCAGCTCCTTTGAGAACAGCAGGAGTTGGTTGAAGTCCTGTATTTCTGTCAACCCTTTTTAAGCAGAGTAAGGACTTTAGATTTAGTAATGACACTGATGTCCGTAGGCCTCTTCTGGCATGTTTTTTTTTTCTTCTCGCTTTCTTTGACTAAAAGAAAAACATAAAAGCAGTATGTCACTAAAATTTAGTTGACAAAAATACTTGTGGAAGAGTCCTGTGTAGCTCTGTGGTAGAAGTGTGTATGTACAGGGATCTTAAATTTTCTGCACTTTTTTCCTGTCCCATAGATATTCTCTTATTACAGGATGTTAATAGTGCATCTCAATAAATTATGTATGTTAGCAATTTATTTTGAAGAAAACCCTTTTCCTTTATTCCACTTAATAGCTTTTACTTCCTTCCTAAAAACAGGAAAGAAAAAGCCCTTCGTTGTTCAAGCATGTCTGAGCAAGTACGTGGAACAGTCCATGGATCCCATGATTCAAAATCTCTTATTTTTATTTCAGCTTCATTTTTTACTTCCTCAAATATTATGTGGTAAAGTTTTAAAAGAGGTGTATAGTAACATACTGGTGTGAGTTTCTGTACCTTCCTGTGTTCACTCTTAAGCACAAAACTTCAAGGGAGCAAATTGGTTCTGATCCCCTCAAAACTGGTATTTGAGAAAGCATATGGCAGTGAATACAGAAGACCTCTTTTTCTTCCTCATCGCAGGCTTTCTTACGTGGTAACATTCTCTGCATGGTTTTTTTGTCATGTAATGTCAACTTATTTTTCCCTTCAGCAAGGATGCAGTCATTTTCCTTGGAGTCCCAGTGGACAGTGAGTTGTCCCTGGGACAGCAATGGGCCCTTGTGGCCAAGAGGGCCAGTGGGATCCTGGGGTGCGTTAGGAAAAGTGTGTCCAGCAGGGCTAGGGAGGTTCTCCTGCCCCTCTGCTCTGCCCTGGTGAGACCACACCTGGAATCCTGTGTTTGGTTTTGGACTCCCCAGTTCAAGAGAGACAGGGACCTACTGGAGATAGTCCAGTGGAGAGCTACGAGGATGATCAAGGGACTTGAACATCTCTCCTGTGAAGAGAGACTGAGAGACCTGGGGCTGTTTATTCTCGAGAAGTCTGAGAGGGGACCTTATTAACGTATAGAAATATCTGAGGGGTGGGTGTCAAGAGGAAGGGGACAATCTCTTCTCAGTGATGCCCAGCAATAGAACAAGGAATAACGTTAGAACATGGGAAGTTCCACCTCAACATGAGGAGAAACTTCTTTGCTGTGCGTGTGCCGGAGCCCTGGCCCAGGCTGCCCAGAAAGGGTGTGGAGTCTCCTGCTCTGGAGACTTTCCAACCCGCCTGGACGCGTTCCTGTGGGGCTGCCCTGGAGGATCCTGCTCTGGCAGAGGGATGGACTGGGTGATCTCCAGAGGTTCCTTCCAACTCCCAACATTCTATGATTCTATGATTTTCTATGTTTTTTTGATACCAGCACCCACTGGTGCTGTTCTGTAGTTGTGCTGTGCTGTTTTTTTCAGTACCAGAGTCATGAGAACTAAATTGAAGATCATGCCAATGGTGTATCTGGAGAGCTGTACTCCCTCACAAGCCCAGGCACTTGGCGTTGGGTTTCACGCAGGCTGAGGGACCCTCAACCTGTTCAGGTTCTCTCATTGTCTGGTATGGACTGTGCTGTGCTCACAGGAGCTACCACGTAGTACCGGTGTTGTAACAGCCTCTGGGATAGCGGGATTTTAGTTCTGCTTTGTCACTTGGCAGAATTTCTTGGAGGGCAGAGACAGGTTTGTTCTCAAATGAAAATAACAGCTAAGGTGTTACTGTCTGTTGTTTGTAGTGAGGAATTCTGATGTTAAGCACTCAGGATGAGAAGTACTTAGCCTGCCTACTTGCAAACTGAGTAATCACAGTGATAGAGTGAACTACAGGTGTTTAATGTCTTAGAATGACAAGTACTAAATACAGCTTTCAGAGCTAGTTTTGAAAACATGAGCTACTGGATCAATTAATTTTTTCGTATAAGCAGTAATATATATGCACTTACTTGGCAGGACGTTTTCTGATTTAGAGTCTAACAAAGCAGTGGATTAATGGTTGATGCTCTCTTTTTTTTTTTTTTCTCCTTTCCCCGACAGTGCAACAGAATGGAGTACGACACTGCTCCTACTCAGCATCAAGGAAAAATCTGTACATTAACAAAAATACAAAGGTTATCTGTCAGGGTTTTACAGGCAAACAGGTATGTATATGAACTTTTTCTTCTATCACTCTTTCAGTTCAGAAAGTTAGTTGGCTGAAAAACTTACTGACATGTAAAAGGGATTATATACCGGCTTTGTGTTGGTAGCAAACTGGGCTTCATGATCAGGAAGGTCCTTTCAGCAGTATAGTGTCTTTCTGATCCAAGTAGACTTTTTTCCCTCCTAAATTCAGTAGACTAGATTTTTACTTTTGTTTTCTGCTCCTGCACAAGCTTATAACTTACTTTTGAGTCATCAGTATTATAACACTTCTGATTTTTGTTTTTCATTTTGGCCTTCAGCCATTTTACTGTATACAGCTGAAAGGGTTTCTTTGTGAAAGGAGATTTACAAAAACTAGAAAATCCCCACCATTTTAGAAGTGCCTCTTTCACAAATGCCTTTGAGCATCAATGCCTATGAATTAAATTTTTGTTTTTCAGGATATTTAGTAATTTTCTCAGCAATCAATCTTTTACACATTTGCAGGGGCAGAAGACTGCTTTTGCTAAAACCAGCAGGTAGTAATGGATTAGAATGCTAATTTCTTTTGTTCACTACAGTGTTTGTCATTTGCCAGACTTGAATTGGAAAATAAAGTATTTCTGCTGTGTCTGCAGGTGTATTAGCAACACAACAAAATATCCTGTAGTGCCCAGCCACAGTGCTCTGATTTAAAAGGAAAAGCACGGCATCTTCTGAATGCATTTGAAACATGATGCATTGTTCAAAATAGCTGATTGTATATATGTTGTGAAAGCTTTCCTTTTTACTGTAAATTTAAGTACCATGAATTGTCTTCAGAGTTACAGATAACACTAACTTTTTGGGTTCATTTTATTTGTTGTTACGTGCCTTTTAACTTTACTTGTTTTCTTTCATAGGGCACCTTTCACAGCCAGCAGGCGCTGGACTACGGCACCAATCTAGTTGGAGGAACTTCTCCAGGGAAAGGGGGAAAAACTCACCTGGGTCTGCCTGTGTTTAATTCTGTGAAGGAGGTAATTTGCAGCGGTGACTTTAGGACAGGCAATTAAATGCGACTGAAGGGCTTCTTATTCCATTGCTTCCACTGCAGAAGCAAACATTTGAGCTGTGGATGTCACTGTGCACGGAATGAAATAGAAGCTGTGTCAAAAGGGGAACTTTCAGCGTGGTCAGGAGTTAGCGTGGCTTCCACTGTGAAGTCTGGATACAGTAGTTTGCAACTAGTTTCTCATTAATCCTGGCTTGTATGATAATTTTTTAGCAAGCTCTTATCTAAGGGTATTTATGGTGGTGTTCACGAGGCAGTTCCATTCCAGACAGTGGTTAGCTCTTACTTCCCTAGATACCATCTTCAGTGAATTTAACACTTGCATCGATTATAGACGTTAATACATACAGTTTGCTTAATTTATGCCTGCAAATGGACATATCTTAAATGACTAGTTGTCAAATGTTCTCTTTGGTCCCAGTAAACACTTGCTGTCTTTTTTTTGTTGTGTCTGTTGTAGGCCAAAGAGCAAACCGGTGCTTCTGCCACTGTTATATATGTACCTCCTCCTTTTGCTGCTGCTGCGATCAATGAAGCAATCGATGCCGAAATGCCCTTAGTTGTGTGCATTACCGAAGGTATTCCCCAGCAGGACATGGTTCGGGTTAAACACAGACTGCTTCGGCAGGATAAGACTCGACTAGTGGGCCCCAACTGCCCTGGAGTCATCAACGTAAGTGACTTCTGGATTTGCTCCAAGGCTGAACCATTCTTAGTGGTGGTTTGAATGTTCCATCTGACTTCTCCCACTCTTATGGAGAATGTAAAATTGGTATCATGCCTGGTCACATTCACAAGAAGGGAAGAATTGGTGAGTTTTTGAATATTTACGCATCATCTAAACCTAAAGTTTGGTACTCTAGTGTTCTTATTCGTAAGGCTGGGCACGTGCTGTCCTGAAGACAGATGACATGCTGCATAGCAGCTGTCTGTCCCTCAGTTGGTAAGTAAACTTCACCATCTTCAATCCCAAAAGCCAAAATCAGTCAGTCTGCCATAGCAGGCGCTGAGTACTGGTGGTAGAGGCAAAGGAATTGGAAGTTTCCTTAGGTGATATGATTGACTTAGTTTCCTTAACACTCTCCTTTGAGAATACTTCCATTTATTTTGGAATTTGAGAGCAGAAAGCTCTTCAGCACTATTCCTTCCAAGAGCTTGGCTTCCGAGGACTAGGATCCTACATCTGTAGTGAGCTCAGTATTGTAGCACAGAGAAGACATTACTTGCAAGTTTATAACATGATAATTTAGACAACTATACCACGGTGAGCGGAAGTGACAAATGTTCCCACTTCTCAGTGGAATTAAAGTCAGAAAGGCACGACTTGTTCATAATTTTATATTAGTTACACACCCTGCTGCATGCAGGTCTCTTGTCCTCAGTTCTATTGGTTCCTTATTCTAAACTATAACAACCTGAATATTTTTAAAATAATGCTATAAAGAAAATTCTTCCACAGCCTTCATTTGTACTTAGGTAGGGCTTCAAAAAGTTGTAGGCAGCATGTGCTGCTGTTACCTGTCAGCGAGGTAACCAGTTTAACTTGAGCACAGTACCCTTTGCAACATTACCAATTTTTTTTTTGGATGAAAAGTGTTTTTCTGTGGGAAAACTTTTTCAGTGCTCTTGAACTATGTGGACTTGATGCAGTTTTTTCTAACGTGAGAAGCTGTCTTTACTACTTAACCACTTCTGACTTGAGAATAAGCTCTACTTAGTGGATGTTGAAGAGTGCATTAACAGTCGTGTTATACCTCCAGCTTCCAGAAGTACTTATAAACCTGGAATTGAAAAATCAGATGGCTGCAATTATGCCTTTAGTAGATACTGTCAAGCCATTGCTCTATGAATGTAAAAGGTAATATCAGCTAAGGTTACCCTGAGCTCCCTTCTGAATCAAAGTTCTGTTAAGATTTTCTAAACACAAGAAATTTCTTGTAGTCACGAGATTGTAGAATCTGAGTACAAGGCACATCCAGTGTAAAAGAATATTTTAAATCCTGAATCCAGTTGCTCCAGCATTGCTGAAAAGTGTTTTCAGTCGTGATCCAAGGATCAGGGAATAAAAAAATGTAACTTGACATCTGCCCAGCTTCGTCTAAGACTATGACCTTTGGTGATACGCTCTCCAGCTTTCTATTACCGTGAGGCATCCAAGAATCATTTGATAATCTTGGGATTCAAGTTGTAAAAATAGCCACAGTCTTTGGACCTTCATCTGTAGCTTCTGTGAGGCAATCTGATCTGAACAGTAAACAGGAAGCCCTTTGCAAAAATCTCAAGAAAAAAACCCACCATTGCTAGTAGCAATACGTGCTGTCCAACATATGAACAGTTGATAAAACTAAGTTTTTAGTCTAGCAGTGTATTTTTTCCTCTGTTCATGCAATACACTTATTATATTCCTTGATAGATGGCTTGAAGTAGGTGGAAGATGATGTCTGTTTTTCCTGGAAACCTTTTGTCTTGTATTAACGGAAATTTTGACCGGGAAAGATGAACGAAACCCCACGCAAATATTTTGCCCCTAATCCAGGCTCTGCATTATCTTCCATGCTGCATTTAAAACTCGAGTTGTGGTTTCTTGTAATATTGTAATCTACGTGCTCAATGTGTACTGTAGAGCAGTGAGCTGCAGCAACAAATACCCTAATAGTGATAATTTGCATTTATGCAGCATGTTTTTGTTCTGAAGGATCTCTCATGTGTCTGGTCACACTGGAGGTGCAGTTCATACAGAATTATGTGGTTAACTGTAAGGGGGAAATTCTATTTGCAGTTCAGTGCTTTAGCTCCTCACATACAAGACAACGAAGTATATTCTTCGGTTTGGTTTTTAATGTTCTTTCCTGGTAAAGTTGTAGTGTGAGGAATGCTGTCTTGGCCAATATTACTGACTCTCTGGGCAATTTTAGTCTGTTGACAATTGATTGTCAAAAAATGCCAACCAAGAAATAGTACAGATAGAATTTTATGTAGGGTTTTCATCTTTTTGGCAAGTGTAGCTGGAAAACCTGACATCTCATCTTCAGTTTATTAAAATGATTTTAATGAATATTAGAGCAGCTGCCTCTTGTCATGCACTTAGCTATGTTAGTGTTAAGTTTATCTCCTTTTCTTTCCTAAAGGTATTGTGTCAAGATCTGGAACTCTGACATATGAAGCTGTTCATCAGACAACGCAAGTGGGATTGGGGCAGTCTTTCTGCATTGGTACGTTTCCTCAGAAACAGCCTGTTGCACCTAGACTAATCTACTTTGCCTTTACAAGAAGAAATCTAAAGTAATTTCTTTCTGCAAGAACTTGCTGAATGGCAATTATATTCACAAATGAGATCCCTATGAGCTGTATAACCTTTCTCTGTTATCGTTTCCGCATCAGGTTAATAAAAGCCTAAAAACCAGCCTTGAACAGAGAACTGCCAGCAAATACGATACCAGTTTAGAAAAAAATTTTCCCAAGAAGTTTGATACTATAAAGGAGTAGGGCATTCTTAGAAATTTATTTGGGTATGTTAAGTAAATATAGTTTTCTTACAGCAAAATTCTAAAGCTGAGATCTTGGTCCTGCTATTTCTTATACAGAGCCTCTGTATAAGGCATCATATTTTCCTTACAGTTTCAAAGCTTTCTGTATTATTTCAAAGCTTATCTGATATCAAAGCTTTGTGTAAATTGTGGCAGAGATATTTGGAGCAGGAATTTGGCACACTGACTTGGGAAAAGCCTTCAGAGCTCTTTCTGCTTATGAGCCTTTGGGAATACTTTTCATGATGAAATTTATTTTCAAGCCTTTAATGTACATGCAATATCACTATCTTAATATATTTTTTGTCTGTTTTAATACTTTTTCAGGAATTGGAGGCGATCCCTTCAATGGAACTAATTTTATTGACTGCCTCGATGTCTTCCTGAAGGATCCTCATACTGAGGGGATCATATTGATTGGGGAAATTGGAGGAAATGCTGAAGAAGATGCAGCAGCATTTTTGAAAGAAAATAATACTGTGAGTCTTAAACAGCTTGCTTCCAGATGCTTTGGTAGCTGGCCACCTCTTTTGCCAGTTAGCCATCATCCTGCTGTGTCAAGAAAACCACAGTTCAATCTCTAATCTATGTTTACAAAAAAACCAAAGTCATAATTTTATTAAAGAGTTGATATTAGGAACTTCGTCCAGATTAAATCTGACTGGCCAGACGTGTCAACTTCGGATTTTTAGTCCTGTAATGATACTTGTAACTACGATTCTGTTTTGTTGTAATGTACATGGCTCTGTAGAGAGATGTTTTAAAGTTTCTAATTGCATCTGGTTTACAATAATTATCGGGATAGAAAATACTCCACGATCTTTAGAGATCTGGAGAGGCTAGAGAGCTGAGTAAAGGTGAACCTCATAAGTTCAGGAAGTGCAAGTGTAGAGTCCTGCATCTGCGGAGGAATAACACCAGGCACCAGGACAGATGAGGGGTTGTCCTGCTGGAAAGCAGCCCCATGGAGAAAGACCTTGGAGTCCCAGTGGGCAGTGAGTTGTCCCTGGGACAGCAATGGGCCCTTGTGGCCAAGAGGGCCAGTGGGATCGTGGGGTGCATTAAGAAAAGTGTGTCCAGCAGGGCTAGGGAGGTTCTTCTCCCCCTCCACTCTGCCCTGGTGAGACCACACCTGGAATCCTGTGTCCAGTGTTGGGCTCCCCAATTCAGGAGAGACAGGGATCTACTGGAGAGAGTCCAAGGGAGATGAAGGGACTGAACATCTCTGCTGTGAAGAGAGACTGAGAGACCTGGGGCTGTTCAGCCTTGAAAGGAGACGGCTGAGAAGGGATCTTATCAACGTATAGAAATATCTGAGGGGTGGGGGTCAAGGGGAAGGGGACAGTCTCTTCTCAGTCGTGCCCAGCAATAGAACAAGAAATAATGGATTTAAGTTAGAACATAGGAAGTTGCACCTCAACATGAGGAGAAACTTCTTCCCTGTGCGGGTGCCGGAGCCCTGGCCCGGGCTGCCCAGAGAGGGTGTGGAGTCTCCTGCTCTGGAGACTTTCAAACCCACCTGGACGCGTTCCTGTGTGGCTGCCCTGGGGAGTCCTGCTCTGGCAGGGGTTGGACTAGATGTTCTCTAGAGGTTCCATCCAGCCCCTAACATTCTATGATTCTATAACTCTTGGTTCCATATTGTCTGTAGTTTTTAGCTGTTTAATATATTTGCCTGGCTAGTTGATATCTAAATCAAAAAAACCCCAACAAAATACCAAACAAAAAACCCCAAACCTGTCACCTGGAATTGTTTTTCAGTTCACTCTCCCCAACATAACACAGCATCTTTTGTTTCTTCACAGGGTCCAAATGCCAAGCCAGTGGTGTCATTCATAGCCGGTCTGACTGCTCCTCCCGGCAGGCGGATGGGACATGCTGGAGCCATCATTGCCGGGGGCAAAGGGGGAGCTAAAGAGAAGATTGCCGCTCTTCAGAGCGCTGGTGTTGTTGTCAGCATGTCTCCTGCTCAGCTAGGTAGCACCATCTACAAGGTTCGTTGCTTTATTCTGATATCCTTAGGATACATACTAATCCAAAGCAAGAAGCTGCATTTGAAGGAATGTAGTGTGGGTGTACAGCTCGTGCCCAAATACTTTATTTCTCTGAGCCTGGCTAAATGTAAGGACTCTATTGGCTGAAAAAGCAGCAGTTACTACTTGAATAAGATGCACACGTGGTTTTGTGTAATGTCTTTATAGAGAAGAACAGCAAAATAGAGGAGAGATTACATTTTGCTTTCGAGTATAGCAACTTGTTGAATTGTGTTTTCTGGATGCAAAGAACGTGGATTAATTTTAAATGTGAAAATGTTCTTGGAAAGCAGGGTGTTTGAGGAAGGAGAGCCCTGGCATAGAGGTCGGTTTGTTTTACGTACCGATTCAGAATTATGGTTGAATTAGTACAGCTGAAAAACTTATATGTGGAATAGAATTATTTGCATTTTTCTTAATTCATATCCAGAAAAAGGTATTACTTCACAGCTAGAGGAAATGCATAATTTAGTTGTGCTAGGTATTGTTTTGTGTTGTTTTCCTGTGGTGACGGTATAGCATAGCATCTTCACAAGCTGTTGTGGGATTCTTCCATTCTGTTGTGGTTTTAACTTTATTAAAATGAAAAGCTTTACATTGTTGCTTCTCTGGCTTGGCTCCTTTACTGTAAGGATTGTACAGCAGTTCTTCTGCAGAACTAGTGTTTTTCAGGCCTCTTACGCTAAGCCTGGGAGCAAATGATTCTTTGACAGCTTGCAATCTGTGTGCAGTGCACTGACTGCAGTCTAGTCTATTGTTTTTTCATAGCTGGTTTGTTAATGTGAGGTGGGAGAATATTTATCCTGCTTTCCCCTAACTTGCCCACATTATGCATTTTATATTTTAATTTTTAATTCCTAAAACCAGGTTTGTTAAGATAAATACAAAGTAATTTAAAACAAAATATAAAACAAAATTTCACTGGTGGTAATGTCTGTGTGCTATTTACAGGAGTTTGAGAAAAGGAAATTGCTGTAAGAGAAGATACTTTGGATTACTGTCTCCAGAACGTCAGTGCAGCACCTGGCCTCCACTTACCTTTTCTCTGCTAATCTTCAGTTGCCCAAATGACTGACACTGGTCTGTGAATTTGACTTGGAAGCCATAAACCTCCTGGCTAAACCCTGTATGATGTCTCCTTCGTTCAGACGTTATCACCTTATTGTAAATCACAGCAAGTTAATAAATCTACTACTAAATCTGATTCATCTTTTGAATTCCTGAAGCAGAGCCATTTCTTCAATCATCATAACCAAAATAATCTTTTGTAACTTAAGCACTGCCCGTTTTTAAGGTAAAGTCGCTTGTAGAGATGCTTTTAAGGATCAAGGCACTGACTTTATGCACATATCACACTTTGCTTTTTTTAAAAAAACTCCAGACTTGTTTGTTGCTGGCAAGTGTGTATGTTTGAACTGTAGCCAAAGTTTCCGTCCATTAAACCAGAGCTACTGGATCTGAAGGGGCGTTGGTTTTTGATCCATGTAGCTGGATATGCCCGTAGTCCAGACTTTATTTTCAAGGCTGATGAGCCGTGCACAGTGTAGTCCTCTACTGGCAAGGAATTCTGTTTGTTGAGTGGAGAGATGGAATTTTTATTCACAAAGATGAATCTAATTTCCCCTGCAAATATATATTCAGAATTGTCTGTAACTATGTGTAAATTATTTGGTCTTTAGCTTATGTTACTTTAATTTCCTCTTTATCTTGACTAGGATTGCATTGCTTGTGTGTTCTGAAATCCTAATAACATTGGGACTTAATGGAGGAGAATTACTATTCTCTGGAAAAGAATGTAATAAGGTAACTTTCTTGTTAACCACTCCAAGCACTGTAATGGAAAGCCCTTTTTTTACTTTGGAAATAGCCCAAGCACCGTGCCTATAAATGCGTGTTACGAGTTTTATCAGGATGGACTAAACTCAAGATTGCTTTCTTTATATAGAAGACTGAAAATTCATGTAACCTGGCACTTGTCTAAAGCTAACCTTGTGTTCCATAAAGGTGCTGTTATGAAAACTCGTGTCATTATTTGTTTAAAACTGGTCTTAGTTTTCTTACCCAAATGCCTGTGGAATTTCTTTTCATAGTGGAAGCAGTGAGCAGGTATCTTGACACTGACACTTACAGTAACTAGAGCTAAGCCACAACAAAATGCATGAGAGGACGGGTCGTATCTCTGCTGTGCTGGATATGTATTAATACGCTTCATATATGGTGAGGCACCAGGTGGTACAGGCTGCAGGACACGGAGACCAGGTGCTGTATTATTCACCTTGGTATGATTCACTGAAATGAACCTGACATCCCATCACTAGGGGCTGAAAGCAGTATTGAGTGGTAAATCATTTGATGAGGCCTCTGACAACAGATAGGGTCTTTCTTACTGGATCTGCTCAGTTTTTTGGTGACGCCTGATTTAATGTGGAGCAAAAAGACCAAAGGGTGCCCTTTGACTAGAGAAATACCAGTGCTGGTGTGTCTCAGTCTGTGCGAGAGCGCGGTTCTTCAGCAGTGGATGTCGGGATGTTGCAGCCTGCCTTCACAGGAGCCTGCTCATCAGAGTCACTCGTTGCAGCGCTGGGCTGCTCCGCAGCACGTCTTCCGGGATGGATAATGCTTCCTGATGATCTGCCTGAATTTCATCATGGCCACCGGTGTGGTAACAAGATGACCTTCCAGCACAACTGAGCAGTAGTAGATTTCCTGCTAGGGATTGCTCAGTGGAAGCTTTTTTAGAGGCACCAGCTATTTTAGAAGACAGCAATAAACTCCAATAACCATTATCCCCTTAGAAAGTGCTTCCTCATTTCTTGAAATTTGAGAACAGGTTTAAAAATGTGACCTTGATTCTAATGTTTTTAGCAGTCGTCTGGTGCTGCACCTTAGCAGCTGCCTGGTCCGGTTCAAACCTGGGGAAACAGTCTGTGCCAGCCTGGAACTGAGCATCACCTTGGGATGGGGAAGAGACATGACCTCGTCTGATAGAAAGGCTTGGTTTTCAGTTTTCTCTTGCTACCTAAAAATGTGCTCCTGACAAATATCATCTGAGCCTCTGACATTGCTGATGACGATGTCTCTTTAGGAAACATCTGTTTAATACTGTACGTACTTGTGAATAAATGTTTCAAGTAATCTGATCTGGGAAATGGTTCATTTTTTTAAAGGCAGAGGTTAAGTTAGTGGTGAGTCTTAAACCTGTTGCTACTTTACAACCTACTAAGTAGTCTTTATGTGCAAGAGGAACATTGCTGAAGGTACTGTTTGAGTTCTTAAGCTTCATGAAGTAGTCTTTCCTTTTTTGTTTTTTTTTTTCCTTGCTCCTCCTTTCCTTGCTCCTCCTTTTCCTAGATCTAGACTTGGTGGTGGTGTCCATAAATCACTTGCACTTTTCATGGATAAATTCTGGATGTGAAGCGTGGGGGCAGAGCAAACTGGGCCAGAAAATGCCAGGATCTGAGCCCTGAGAAACGTAATAGTGGTTTCAAAGTGGCTGCCAGCTTGCAATGCTGAAAGAACAAGCTCTTTAATTGTGCTGAAGCTGTGGAATTAAGTATCATAGAATCAGAGTTTGAGTTGGAAGGGACCTTAAAGATCGTCTAATTCCAACCCCCCTGCCATGGGCAGGGACACCTTCCACTAGAACAGGCTACTTACAACCCTGTCCGCCCTGACCTTGAACACTGCCAGGGAGGGGGCTTCCACAGCTTGGCAACCTTTTCTAGTGCCTCAGCACCCTCACAATGAAGAATTTCTTCCTCATACCCATCCTCTTCCAATTTCAAACCATTACCCCTTCTACTATCGCTATGCTCCTTGATAAAGAGTCACAGAATCACAGAATGTTTGGGGTTGGCAGGGACATCTGAAGATCATGTAATCCAGCCCCCCTGCCAGAGCAGCATCAGCTAGAGATGACACAGGAACACTTCCCAGGTGGGTTTTGAAAGTCTCCAGAGACTGAGTCCCTCCCTTTCTTTCCCGTAGCCCCCTTCAGGTACTGGAAGGCTGCTATAAGGTCTCCCCAGAGCCTTCTCTAGCCTGAGCAGACCCAACTCTCAAAACCTGTCGTAGGGAAGGTGCTACATTCCTCTGATCACCTTTGTGGCCTCCTCTGAACTTGCTCCAACAGGTCCACGTCCTTCTTGCGCTGGAGGTCCTGGAGAACACAGAACTGCAGGTGGGGTCTCCTGAGAGCAGAGCAGAAGTGCACAATGGTCTCCCTCAACCTGCTGGCCTCAGGTCTTTTGATCCAGCCCAGGATGCGACTGGGTTTTTTGGGCTGCAAGCACACATTGCTGGCTCGTACTCAGTTTTTCATTCACCAGCACCCCTCAGTCATCCTCTGCAGGGCTGCTCTTGATCCTCTCATCACCTCTGTTTATATTTGTGCTTGAGATTGCCCTCCTCTGGGTGCAGGACCTTGCACTTGGCCTTGTTGAACCTCCTGAGGCTGCACAGGCCCACCTCTCCAGCCTGTCTGGGTCTCTGTGGATGGCACCCCTACCTTACGTGCACAAACACGTAATCCTCCATTTACCATCACCTTTGCTGCCTGTCTTTCCCACTGCCCATAACCGCTCAGGATTAGATGACAGTTTTTTCATCAGAGGGGCTATTTGCAGCTTTGATGATATGGGCAGGAGCCAGGTGGTGATTTCTGGAGATGGCAACAGGAGAGATTGTGCTGCTGTGGACACCTAGCAGCAGATTTAGCATGTTTTACACAGAGAGCTGTTCTTTCCTTCCTACAAGAAAGACATGGACGTGCTGGAGCGTGTCCAGAGAAGGGCCATGAGGATGCTCAAAGGGCTGGAGCACCTCTACTGTGCAGACAGACTGAGAGAGTTGGGGCTGTTCAGTCTGCAGAAAAGAAGGCTCCGAGGAGACCTTATTGTGGCTTCCAGTATCTCAAGGGGGCTACAAGAAAGCTGGTGAGGGGCTCGTTAGGATGTTGGGTAGTGACAGGAGTAGAGGGAATGGATTGAAGCTGGAGATGGGTCGGTTCAGATTGGACGTGAGGAAGAAGTTCTTCCCCATGAGGGTGGTGAGACCCTGGCACAGGTTGCCCAGAGAGGGGGTGGAAGCCCCATCCCTGGAAGTTTTTAAGGCCAGGCTGGATGGGGCTCTGAGCAGCTTGATCTAGTGGGGGATGTCCCTGCCCATGGCAGGGGGTTGGAACTAGATGATCTTTAAGGTCCCTTCCAACCCTGACAACTCTATGATTCCCTCAGCTGTAAGTGCTGAGGCAGCCCCTGTTGTGGTGGTAACTAGAAATAACTGGTCAAGGGGAAAGTCTAGGTTTGACATTTTCTACAGAAGTTGTAACACCAAAGCAAAATAAAAAAGTCTCTTGAGACATCAACCTGCAGTACCTGCAAACAACTAAATGGGGTTTATGCTGCATGTCTTTGGCGCTATTGTTAAATAATTGGTTCTTCCATATTATTTAATGAGGGATTAAACTGTTTCTGTATCAGAGATGCTGTGCCGTACCTCGCTCTGCTCTCTTCCTCCTTTCCTGCCTGGTCTCTGCAGTGAAGCATGGGAGCGCTGTGACTGAGTATGTTGTGGAGATGATTCGTACAGGAATTAAAAGCTGGTAGGTGCCATTTTTAGGGAGAGGTTACCTCAATATATACCCTTTCCTCATATCTGTGAGAATGTGGATTAGTGTTGAAATGAGCTGGAAATCAATGTTTAGAATTTTGGAAAATTTCTTGACGCAGAAAAGCTTTCAGTTTTCAAAAGGAAATTAACAACTTGTTTCGTTTGAATTTGAGATGAAAATAGGTTATTTCCCTAGAAGTGGAAATCTGTCAGTTTTCCTCCAGTTAAAGCCTCAAGAGACTTTCTCAGAAGTGCACCAGGATTGAGTTTTTTGTTGTGGGTTTTTTTTGTTGGTTTGTTGTTGTTGGATTTTTTTGTGTTTTTTTCTTTTATTTTTTTTTTCCTGGCACACTGTGTCTTCAGCCTGATATTTGTCAGACCTCCTAAGCATCCCCTATCAGGACTCAGACCTAGATGGTTTGCTGCCACAAAAAGCACCAAAACCTTCTGATTAAAAACTGACTTGTTTCCTGCAACAGTTTCATGATCTTAAAAAAGCCCAAAGAGATCATTCTCTATTTACATTTGCCACACACATTTATAGAACTGGGAGAAAATATGGTTTTCTGTTCCATAATCACTAAACCACACACCGCAGTGTTTGTGCTGGGAGTAGGCAATAGCCTATAACGATGTCTGTGCTGTGTAGATACATAATTAAGGGTCTCTTAAAATCTGTTTTGTTGCTGTAAAAGACAGCACAGCAAATTTATACTTTTCAGCACATCTGTAATGCTATGAGATAGTTGCTTTAAAAAAAACCCCAAACCAGCCTATAAACCTATTTCTTTT